GTGGAGATGGATTGGATTGGGCATGCACTGAGAAGGCCGACTGGGGACATCAGGCGTCAGGCCCTCGAGTGGAATCCCCATGGGAAGCGACGAGTTGGACGTCCGAGGGTGACATGGAGGAGGTCGTGCGAAGAGGAAATGAGAGGTTGTGGAACCAGGTTCGAAAGATCTCAGAGAACAGGATGAAATGGATACGTGCTACTGAAGCCCTATGTTCCACTAGGAACCCAAGGGACTAATAATAATAATAATAATACTCTTGTGGATTTTTAAAATCTTCTGAGCTAGCTGTTTTTCGAAGTAATAACAAAACGAAAGAAAAGTGTCGTATTAGATGGAGATGGACTTTTGAGTGAACAAGAATGCATCATATTTCTACTCTTCGGATATGTCTCTGGAATAGCAGATTCTTCTACTGGTTGGATGAACCACCACCACTACTAAACACCAGAGGCCGATTCAATATCTGCCAACTACTTCATATTACTGCCTTTAATGCTGTTATTATTATGAACATCATTCGTATGTTATTATTATTTTGTTTGAAAATATTGTTCAGGGAGTGAATTTGTTAATTTATTACATGTTGAGAATTCCATACAGTATTTAAAATCAGAGCAAGTGAATTCAAAATACTCAGATCATGATAATAATGATACAATCGGGTACAATCCGGCTGTCGGATTCGATGGAGATTTTCGAAGGAAACTAAAATGTTCTGATAAGCAGTTGTGATTTACTCGACATCAAAAATGGTACTGAAAAGACAAATGAAATAACTGTACAACACGTACCAGTGAATGACATGAATAGTAAACTTAAATAGCTGATAGTTTTCGAAGTCTTTTCAATAATTCGGTTCTCTGACCTAGATTACTCTGATGAATTGTCTTAAAATAATGAAGACAGAGATTTAATGCTTAAATCCCATTAGTTTGGCTAGTAAGCACTTCTGGTTGATATGATTATTAGTTGTTTTCAATAAGCAATTCACATAAAATCCCTTTCTTGTGACGGAATGTTAAGAAACAGTCTGCGAATTAACTGTAGATTATTCCATCAATACTCTAAGTTGTTAAAACTGGTCGCGAAATAGCTTTACATAATCACCGGTTTTCTCAAAATGAAAAGCTGTATCGATGATCATTTTTTTAAAATAATAATAATAATAATAATAATAATAATAGTAATAATAATAATAGTTTACCCGTTCATACTGTAGACACGTTTTCCAACCTACAGGTTATGCAATATGGAAAAAGGATTCATTTTGTAATGTGTTTATTGAATTTTTGCTGTAAAATATGATTGTAGAAACCCAGTATGACGTTTTCTTGGAATTAATGGAGCCCAGTATATACAGAAAAGCAAACAAATTGTTTAAGGTTACTTTGAAGGGATTTATGAGCAAGAACCTATCACCCAACAAGTATGCAGAAGAAAGTGGAGATGGAATGGGCATTCATTGAGAACGCCGTTCGGCGACATCACATGCCAGGCCAGAACCTTGAGTGGAATCCAAACAGGGAAACGACAAGTTGGGTGTTCGAGGTGAGGGTGACATGGAGGAGATGGTGTGAGGAAGAGATGAAAGCTTGTGTGCAGTTGTGGAGCCAGGTTGAGAAGACTGCAGGGAACCGAGTGAAATGGAGACGTGCTACTGAAGCCCTGTGTTCCACTAGGAACCCAAGGGAAAAATAATAAAAATAATAATTGGTCTTCTGTTCTCATGAGTATAGTTCTCATGTGATCTGATAAGACTTAATGAGTGATTCTAAAGGTCATCATAATAACCAATCAGGTTTTGGCATTCCCTATAGGATGGTAGATTCTCATAAAATAGAAGGACATAATTAGTTATTTCACGAGTTGCTAGGGTTATACGATTTAATAGCTGTTATGCTTTAACAGTTACATGTCAGATTTGTCTTTCTAAATTAAACACAGTCTAATACTTCCACTTTCAGCGTAACAATCAGTGGGAGCCACATAAGCATCGGTAAATAATACCTGATACTCGCTGTACAAGAGGTGACTCTTTTAGCTCAATAGCTGATTCAATAATGCTTTGACATTCGAAACGATGGATGCTAGGTTCAATTCTGAGTACGGACACCACTAACCACTGAAGTCCATGTACATCCACCTAACGAGTTCTTATTTGTTTTTGTAATGAAACACACTCAAGCTGAAGCCTAGTTTCGAATTTTTCTAAACGCTTCCACTTATCAATAATTACTTTTTGAACAACTCATAGTGTTCATGAGACAGGTTACAAGTCTACTTTTTTATGAGAAAAAGGTAAGGTTGTCACACAATCTATACATGAAACAAAGACTTTGAAGACTGAAAATTATTGCTTGACTTCAACCAAACAGTATAGATTTACTTGTGTATGTCTACCTGTTTGATTCCTGTTTTCGTACGGGCTTCCAGTGTAACGGACAAAATAAGACAACTAGACAACGCAGCAGCAAACAGTCAACATGAATTGATAACCCAGCCTCAAATTGTTTTGTGAACAAATCTCACCGCAAGAGTGCTAACTGGTAAAATATATGACAGACCTCAAAGGTTACCAAGATAATAAGTAATAATTTCGGTAATCTTTATCAGAAAAGCTTTTCAAACCGATTTTTGGGGAAGGGGTTTGGAACTATAAGTATGATTTAAATGCTTATCACCAATTCCTGCCTGTAATTGGAGTTATCACAGTAATCTCTGTTACGATGACTCTTTTGCTGGTTTGTAACAAATATCATATTTCAAGGTAGTACTCATCATGGAGTGCCATATGTTGGAGAACCATTGGAAACCTGGGAGCTCTGAATCTCAGAACTCATAGTATCAACTTGATGATAATGTCTTAAGCATAATTTTGATCAAAAAATATCACCTTACTGAAAATACTACTTTGTATGTGATATTAGAAACTGTTGAAAGAATTCTTCGACCGGTTTGCTTCCATTTTCCGACTTCTTGAACACTTTTACAATCATTTCGCCCCCCTTTTCAACACCCTAAATGCCACCACATACGAAATCTCAACCATAATAACCGGTCTAAGATTTCTGGACGGTCATGATAGCAGCGGAAATCTGGATAAACAATTGAATCTAGGAGGCCACTTCACTCAGTGACTTTAAAGGCAACATATTCGCAATAATGCTATGCAACAGATTTTTCTAGTATTTTATCGTCTGTGACTTCGTCTAATAGAAGGCAATTAACAGCCAATATATCTCCTTGACGATGCTTCATACTTCAATATGAACTCTATGTAAGATTCACCGCCTTATAACGACGTTTATTCTGATGTTCGTTTCTTTGCACCACAACAACTATTTTCAATGATATAAATATTTATTGCTGGGAACTGTAACACTTGAAGAGTGGGAAATGCTTGGACTTAGATATTCACTGGGATTCTATGGATAATTACTTATTTCTTGAAACCACTGAAGTGAGTTCTTGTTGGTCAATGAAGCTATATTCATAAGAATTGCTGTTAAAATAGACGTCTATCTGACAAAACATCGAATTATACAGATGAGTGAAACACGTCGGCTACTTGTAACGCAAACATCAAATATTACGCTACCTTGATGTCACCTATGAGTGAAAAAATAAATAACTGATAACAGTCTAAACTAATAATCACTATTTATGTACTAAGAAATGATATTTTATTGTTTGGTTCATAACTTCCAAACACTTTTGATATTATGATAGAGTTGAATGTTCTCCCTTCTGTACCATTCAGAACCGTTCAAGCACTGCAGATTTCGCGACCACTATCAATTTGATGTCTGTAAACCGGCTTATCTCATGTTAAATTTATGATATGAGAATAAAATATTGATTTATTTATTTATAAACATGTTCACTTAAAAAGGTGATAAGGTAGGTATCCAGTAATTTATCAATAATTTACGCACATACAGTTTGTAACTGCCCTCAGAAAAGAATACAGTTTTCCTGCTACGTAGAATGACTTTCCGTATGGGATACTTTGTGAATCGTAAATTTGATAAAAACGTGAGTATTCCCCCTTACAAAACTGCTTTAATGGTAGTTAGCTGACCTAAATACTTTCACCTAGTAAGGGAAAGCTGTTTGTCACTGTAATACTCATATTAACAGGCCTATTCTTTGTTGTCAACAAGGGAAATCGCACAAACTTTTGGTTGAAGTAGACATTTTTGAAGACAACAGTTTCAAGTAACTACATATTAAATAAAATATGTGGTAAACTGGATAGTGTCTTTTTAAACAATCGAAAATATAATACAAGGACCCAACCAGCTAAATAGAAGCATCCTCTTATGAAGTTCTTGAATGGAAAGAAAACACTAGAAATATACAATTCATAGTTAGAACCCATTACTTAGCGTATATCTCGATAACTATTTCAGAAGTACTTGAGTTAGCAAAGAAGGCATATAATCGCCTTGCATGTTCCTCTTTGACAACATGAAAGATAAGCATTCACAGTACACTTTGTGATTAGTTTAGGAGCAGTAATCAATCATGAGTACAGATCACCTGGGAGCGATTAGTCTTTCATTCAACCTGTTCTCATACAACATAATGCATACAGAATCTACTTCACAGCATTGAATTTTGAACAATTATCCGATAGATCGTAAGATACAAAAAAGGTACAATATCCAATGGTAGTCTATACAAACTAAAGTGGTTTCCATTTTGTCGATAAGTCGATGAATCTCACGGGCGATGAAGCTAAGAAGTGGATCATTCTCAGTCACATGATCAGCGCAATTCAAATGTTTAACTAAGGCACAAGGTCATTCAACTTAAACCAGTTGCTTTTTCAATGACCAATGAAATTCTAAATACAAAAATTGCTGTTCTGACTGAAATCAGATATTAGTTGGGCTTATGCACTCAACTTATTTTCCGTAAGTTGATAAATCTTTTCAAAGAGATCCTTATGAATAGTTTGAAATCTCAACAAAGTGAGATGACAACATATAACTCCTACCTATTGATCAACACTTATCCCTTGAAAAATCCCCTTACTATGCACGCTGATTAACTTCACTTTTCAACAAGAAACACATTGAAAGTCATTTACAAAATGAGAAAATTGGATAAATTTACTAAATCAAATCTCAAAAGAAAAAAGTGAACCAAAAACAAGTTTTAAAATAAGTAAGCAACACAGAAGAGGAATTTTACAAACTGGTTTCCACAAATGATTAGTATGTATGCATGTGTGTGTGCGTGTATGCAAACAAATACAAATGAATCGATCGATCGATCGATGCATCAACCTATTCAACAGATCAAATGACTAACAAACAAGTGAATCCATCTAACCAGTCATAAATAAAATTCACAAACGGGGACAGACATATATATATATATATATATATATATATATATGTTGTGTATGTGATAGTTACAGGACACAAACACAGTCAGCCAGCCATGAAACAGAATCTAAGCAAAATGTTTTTTATCAGAATTCTTTCCGATGTTGTTGCTCATAAATGTTGTTTTTCCTTTCAGCTCCAGCTCAAATTGACGAAGACGACAACAACAACGAGACAATAATAGAGAAAATGAGGAACATTATTAATTAAAGGACACGTGGGTGGCATAATCAGTTAAAGTGGTCGTAATGGGAGTGGCAATAGTACGAGTAGTGGGGTTGAAAGTGGAGTTTATCTGCTATGAAGAAATTGCATCAGCCAATCAGATGGCGTGAATGAAGTGAAATGGCACGGACACACACACACACCCATACATATACACAATCACACAAGAAGCAGACCTACACTTTATCAATTAGGTAACATGAATTAGAAAGAAAAAAGAGAAAAGAAAGGATGAGTCTATGTATATCCATTGTTCAATTTTTTAAAATTAATAATAATAACGGTAAACAATAAAAACTAGTAGTGGACAGCAGTGTCAAATATTTCTAGTCTTGAAAACAAGCAACTGAAGGAATACACGTGAGGATAAACAATAAAGTTACAAAACAAGTGCGATGAACAACAATAAAAGAATTAGAATTCTCTGATTATAATAGAGTGAATAAAACAATGGGAAAGCTAAGTCTGGAATAGTAATAGTAATAATTGAAAATAACATCTACACACTGGTGTTAGTGGCAGTCACCAAGTAACAATAATAGTAATGATAAAACTGTTTATTGGCGCATTGTTCACAGTGTGGTAGTGAATAAGACGAATAGAAATACAATTTGAGTTGTATCTCCCCCTTCCCCCCCCCAAACCTCTGTAGTATTACTTTTATGAGTAGCGAGACAACACAGAGAGAAAAGTGGATTACAGCATTTTCATACATGGAGGGCGAGCGACAACAAGGATAGTAGCTAATGCTAGAAAAACTAGAATGGATCAGGTCGATGCACATACACACACACACACACACACATCTGCATATACTGAAGGGGAATAGTGTGAAAAGTCTCCACAGTAGCAGTAATAGTACAATCATAAAAACAGGAACTATGAAACGGGTCTGGTGAGAGAAAAAATGCACAGTGAGAGACAAGGCAGTTTTGCCAAGAGAATGAATGGATGAATGAATGAAAATGAATTAAGGATAGTAAAATCATAACTCAAGAAATGAGTATTACACAAAAAACCATATTAGTAAACCGATATCAGTGACAGCTGTATTAACAATGTGCGCTAACAGTCAGACAGTCATAAATATCAATAAATACTTACAATGGAAAGAAAACATATACGGAAAACGCACAAAAACTGTTAACTTAAAATTTACACAAAGGGGAAGAAAAATCAAATGGCGCTCACTTACTAGCTAGGGCGCAGACTAGGAATGAAAAATTCAAAAAGAAAAAAAATGGATAGGTGGGTGGGTATTGAAAAAATGCACAAAAGTATTGAAAATGATAATTCCTCTGAGTGTATCCCTGTTGAAGAAAAAACTCCTTGAGACGACGACAACAAAAGTATAATGAGTGTGATAACTCTGAGAACACAGTAAACAGCTTAAAACAAGTTTTTATATAAAGACGAAGAGAACAGTACTACTAAGATTAATGAAGATTAAAATAGGAGGATGAAATAAGATCCACTTTGAAGTGGAGGCTTCAGTTGTATCCACACAAGTAACGGGACCGATAAGTCAGACAAAAGAAATATCAAACAGTAGCGATAGTCATGTATATATACACACAGGCACATACCATCCATATCTCTACACCATCTCAATATGACAGTGAAGTACAGAAGGATAAATACAGAGAAGGATAGAGGGAAATCTGGGACTTGGAAATGAGGGCGATTTCGCCTCCTCTGTTGACACACACACACACACATACATAGAGGTGATAACGTGAAAGGTGAGATACAGAGAGTCCTGATACTGTTTTTTGTGCTCTCAATCAAGTCAACACCAAACGCTTTCCCCTCATCAGAAGGAAGAGAGAATAGGCTGTCTTGTACCTTTTCTGAAGAAAAAAACGTTTTACACTGTCTTTCTTCAACTTTTATTTAATTTTATTTATCATTGAGGAACATCACAAGGAAGGAATCACAGTGTACAAGAACAATAAAGGATGAAAGAGGACGAACAAAGTGGGAGGGAGATATCTTCTAGCAGTTGTGTTTTTCTTTGAAGAAGCTGAATGTATTTACTGTATACTTTACACTGCTCACAAATATTTCAACCTTCTTCTTACAAAGATTAATAGACAAAAGATAACGAGGAAAAACGATCAGTTTGAGCCTTATCAAAGTGCATTTGTCTATATCTCTGTGTGTGTTTATGTACTGTCAGGAGTGAAAAATATCAAATAAAAGTACTATAATAATGATAATGACAATAGTAATGGTAAGGGTAGTAGTAAAAATTAACAGTATTAACTAGTAACGGTGAAAACAAAGTTTTTAAGAGGAAATTAATCACTAGTCAGTTACAGGAGTTTACTTCTAAAATACATTTTTACTGATGAGAACATTTTTATATGGTCATGATGAGTGCTATATGTTTCAAAATTCTGTTTGTACATGTAAGATATGAATCACGTTTAACCAATGTGTGCGTCTGTATAAATGGGTGAAGGAGGCAGATTAGGGAATCATTTAAACAAGGGCAAATAAGGGGATTCATTTAATGCATTTACTGCCATTACTACCATTGGCTGATGCAGTAGACAAATGGATATTGAGTGTACGCCGTTTTTTCGGCTGATGTGTATAAACTATTTGATTCGACTGCTCTGAACTCAACATTGGGGTATCATGAAGCTTAGAAATAAAATTAGATGTTGTATCTTCAGTATTCCTGACAGTTTGTTGATGAGATTGATCCCATAAGACTGTAGATTTGTCAATTGATGGCGTACGTTTTAAGCATATATTCGATTCGGTTACTTCTCTACCAATGTTCAAATGTGAATGTGGACTTTGAGATTCTGAATGATGAATTTCCTCATTTGGATCATTATCGTCAACGGGATCTTTTGTAAGACCATCTGTTTCAGAAGCTGTGGGAGTAGAAGAACCCTGACTATGTTCTCCTTCTGAAGGACTTTCACGATTCGACGATGATTGTAATATTTCAGGATAATCAGTAGTATCCAAACGGTCTTGTAAAACAACAGGTAGTGATGAAGAGGATAAGGAAGGATGGCTTTCAAAATCTGAATTACTTGATGCATCACTTTTACGCTTTAAATACGATGATGATAGTATAGGAGGAGAAGTGAGTGATGATAAGCATCTAGATGATGATGGATGAAAACCTCCGGTCAGATGATCATTGGGGGTAGAAGGAGAATGTTTGTAAAGTGGACTAACAGAAACAGGAACAGTGGGATTATTAGCAGTATTAATCTTTGAATATACCTCATCTGCAGTGATTATTGGTTTAAGTTTGTTAACGCACTAGAAACAAAAGTAACAATAATGAAAACAATTACAACAAATGATACAATGTAATATCATTATTCGTCGGTAACAAATAAATACAACCCAAAGAAAACTTGCCTACAAGACTGAAGTAAATCCTAAATGACATTCAATCGATAACAAATATCCATATATATAAACTGAGATAATATTTACAGTAATCAAAATAGAACGTGACTAGAATATCTATTCAATTCACTATTTTTGAAACAAGTCACATGACTTTCATCAGTCTGTTTACAGTTAACCAACGAAATCAATGTTTCCATCATAAATTCATTGAAATCAAAGGCAGATAGTCACGTGGTCTTTGCTAATTCCAATCATCAGCATTGAGTAATTATTATCACGATAAAGTTAGATATAACCTGGGGAAAAAAAACACTATCCAACTTGCAGGAGAATTGTCACTCTTCTAAAATCCAGTTAGATATATATGATTATAACAGTAACACGATCACGTTAGGCTGAAACTCATAACCATGAAAAAAAGGATTGAACACGTGACTTTTCTTAGTTTATCCTACTCATATCATCTCAACAGTAGGCAATGAACCACACCTATGGTATGAGGGCTAAAATGATACCACCTGACTTTCTGAACTTTGATGGGAAAAGTGAGGTTTGAACCAACGGTCCACTGGTTGAAAGTTATCTCTGTAAACCACAGATCCACTTTCAACGTGAAGAGCTTCATGCATCGAAAAAGTGAATAAAGCGATAGTGTTATCAAAAGCTGAAGGCATTTTCAATGAAACAGAGATATAGGCAATGAAAAAAGTCAATAACTGGGAAGTTCAATTCACCACAGTTAATTTCAGAGAAGCAGTGATTCCTTATTGAGATTATTTCATGGTTTCACATAGCTACTTCACTTTATATTTTTAGCGTTGGATGACTGATGAAGTATTCATCATCAAGCAATCTGGCAATATATCTAGCCTGATATGAAAAAGGTGGAGGAAGTGACGGCAGTCTAACAGAAAAACAAGTGAATTTTGGAAATCTCCTTTGAACAAGTCGGTAAGTAGCATAGAATGTATGACACAATGAAAAACGACAATTGAGCTAGGTAATGATGATAATCAATAAACTCTGAGAATGAGGTGAAAAGGAGCGTTAGGAATCGAAGTGGATTGAAATGCAACCAACAACCACGCACACATTCGTCCAGTAGGTAATAAGCCACACTTTTTGGGTAAGAGCTACCTTGTTCCCAAAACCTTTCTAGATGAGGCAGTGTTCGAAACCGTAACCAGCTGGTTGTAAGTCATCTCCCCAAGACGAATGAGCCACAGCATCACGATCAATAAGATATTTATACTGTCCTAAAGAAAACTCAGTGAGTCAGTAACCTACATCCTCAGTCTATGAGAAAAAATAGTGAATTGAACACTAATGAGTAATTCCATTCGATCTCGCCAACTTTCGATACACATACAATCAAAGCTACGACTGAAGATTGGAACTCACTCTCTGATCATAGTTAAAATCAAAAAGACTATTATACACATAGATGAGATAATGCGGCAAATCCATAAGAACGACTTAATGTCAACATCAAGGAAGAAACATAGGTGATTTAGTTAGTCTTATTAACAGAATTGGGTTATATTAAACTATAATAAACGTCTAGTCATATCCATTTTCATCAAACAGAGAGAAAAATATTTTGGTAAGCAAAAAGGGTGTGAAGCCTACGGTTTGTAAAATCGAATGATGAATCTATCAAGGAAAGAATAACTACGTCGAGATAGTGCAATCATAAGAAAGAAGTAAGTTTCAAGTTCAGTTGTACTGATAAGAATTCGATAGCCAGGAAGTTGTCGAATGTTAGCTGGCACCCATCAGCAAGGCGTATCTGCAACCTCGACGGGACTGATGTCTCGCCTGGGATTTGAACCCGCTTCGGTAGAATTCGGTTTGTACTCAGGACCAAATAGTATGAAACTGGTTACTTTCAAGTAACCGATCAATGTGTGTAACCCAGTCCTACAGAAGATCAGTTGTGACCCGAATAGTTCATTGGTAACGTCACTGACTAAAACACTGCGTGACGTGGGTTAAAATCTCAGGTGGAAAATCAGTTCCATAGACGTTGCAGATATGCCTTGCTGACGAGTGTCAACAAGCATGAAACCTAGGTACAAAACTGCCTGCTGATTGCTTCCAGCCAACTGACATCTATCAATATGCACCACGATGCTGATCCTCCTGGTTAAATGACCACATTGCAAATATGATCGACAGAATCTGGTCCGCATTTAAGATTGAACAACATAAAATTAATTGCTGCCCCGTGGCCAATCAATGATTGTCGAACATGGTTATACTTACTAAAGTCGTACACTAAATAGTATATTACTGAAACACCTATAAAGTATACTTTAATCATCATTTGGCTTGTTATTCTCAAGATCTTTCTTTGTTCACCATCACATGATATCTGACCTACAAGGTTATGAGGACAAATTTTTAGATGGAGATAAACTATTAAGGAAGAAGTGGTGAGCTGAAACTTCGCATTGAGTTAATTACGATAAAATACACGAAAGACAGTAGACACAACTTTCTAGTAGATAGTACACTCCAGATTTATGTACCGAAAAGGAGAAAAAAGTTTCGAGTTTCAGGTTAGAACAGTATTTACTCAGACTAAAATGACGTCCCAACCAATGGCTCCATTGTTAGTGGTCAGGATTCTGAGGAAAACAGGTCGAAATAAATGCATTACCTGGCCAGTGTTTGGGTTTTCCATTCAAGACGATAGAAATCAAGATCGGTAATGTATAGTATATAATGTACGAGTAAACCTTGGGCACTTAGGTAGATTATAGTTCCATTTAATTCTGTTTATTAGATGTATCGCATAGCAAAACAGTATTAACTGAATAATGTTTCGGATATAATTTATCGCCCATATTCATATCAAATAACCCACAACTTTGGGACATTGTGTATATAGTTCAAATTCTTCCTCCTTCATTGTGATAAGGGCAGCAGAATTTCTATGTATACCTAGGAAAGGTGCAGTATCATTCCCTATTGCATGTATTTGGTGTTGATTCGATAAACAAAGATTCGGTTATCAATTTCTCCTTTCATCCAACTTAGCTTTCAATACTGTAGCTCTATCCCACCCTATTGTGTGATTGTGTGCAACTGAATGCCTAGCCATAGCTTAGCTTCTCTCTAAATTCCTTATCTCATCACGATCTCCCAATCTTGATTCACGTAAGCTTTTGAGCTCTGTTATTCTAATTGACCGTGCTCGTAGCAATTCATTAATGACGCGAATCTTATATACCAACTGTACATGACAATTCATTCAGCCCTGCTCTGCCCATCTGTCAATGAATAATATGTAATACTGATACTGGGAGATGACTGAAGGTGAAATGAAAGTCGTGACCGCAGCAGGACTCGGACTAGCGACCTCTGGGGCTACCGGCCCGGTGCACTTCCTACTGAGCTACGAGACCTCACTGTCGACCAGATTTTTTTCTGACTTCACTTCAATCAGCAAGGCTTTTCCCCGACTGCCATGTCAATTCGTGACGCGCTATCATCGCTTGATCGTACTCACACTGGCTGCTCAGTCAGTACTTCTGATCGCAGTCCAAATCTACTTGAACTGGAGAGGGGGATCAACATATTGATTAGCGGTTTGACTAAGATAGCTGTGGTTTGGTAGACTTATATTGGTATGGCTGTGGCCCAGATTTTCATTTCAACTTCAATCATCACCCAGTGTCAACACAAGTCTGCCAGACCACGACTATCTCAGATAGTCTAATATTATGTAGTATCACGCATTTCCGAACTCTAAAGCCGAAAGAGATTATGGATGAAAAGCAATATCCATGATACAGAACAACGGTGTAGTTTAGCGTTTACGTCCTATTTAGAAGTATGTATGTATGCACGTTTCCGTATTAGTATGCTTGCACACACGCACACACATGAAAGCACATTAGGACAAGCTGTTAAAATTTGCAACAAGTATATAACAATAACTTATAGCCAAAACAAGAATAGTATGTTTCTAGGTCTACTACTTTAAACAACAAACCAAGAGATGCAAATCATATGTATATATAAGGACAAGTATGATTGTCCGAAAATCAGATTGCCCACCCAGTAGTTCTTAACAAATCTATGTAGATGAATGCTGAAGTTGCAGCAATGTGTAACAAACAAACACAAAAAATTACCGTACGGCACACGAATGTTTTGTGTCATCAGTGATTCGGAGTAAATAACCACCATTTCGGAATGCTAAGTGAGTTAACTCAAAAACCAATCACAACGGCGAAGATTCATTCACCAGTCCTTCTATTCAAATCTACAGATTTAACCCTGAATGATCGCAATTATTTAACCTCTAAATCTGCATATTTCTATCTCCGCTTACTGCGTTGTTTTCATTCTAAACAAATTGAGTCGATGTGATTCACCCGAAGTCCTACTTTTGTTTGGTTTGGTCCTCTGTCAGTAAAGAACTGGGTGCAGAGTTGACTTTCGTGCCTTAGTGGATGACGCTTTGGTATTTGAAGGGACGGATATGGTAAGGAGCTTCGAGTCTCAGTGGGGAAAACATCACTACTCACTGAGGTGTGCAGGTACATCCAACTGACGAATCCCAAATAGAACGAAATCCGATACTGGATTCCACTGCTAACCACCAAGTAGATTACAGCAAAATAAATTATGTTGATAAAAAAGAAGCAAAACAAGCAGTATAAGAATAAAACTTACAGCCACATTTCGTATTGGATCGATGATTGAAGGTGGAAACTCGTTTCGTGGAAAACGAGACAAATTGTCATTGCAATTGTTATTATTTTGTATAACGAGGTTCAATGTTTCATCTGATCTATTGAACACAGGTTTGTTGTCTAATTCACAATCGAACTGGTGATGAAAGGATTTGGGATTTGAAGAAACGGCTCCCGATGTGGATGGAACTGTTGTTGCTGTTACGAGTGATGTTGCTGGGAGTTGTGGAAGGGGAGCTGCTGCTTGACCAGCTAACGGTACAAAAGGTACTGATGTACAGTTATTATTATTATTACCATTGATGAAAGATTGCAACTGGGGTTGAAAGAGTAGCAATTGACTTTGAGCTTGTGTAAGCTTCTGTATTGAAATATGAGGAAAAGTAAATGAAATATATTTATTAAAACTCCAACTAAAATAGACAAGACAGATTATGAACTTTATATCATCGGTAACACTATTCATGTTAAAAATCTTCATGAATGAAATCATCAGGTCAAAAATCAATTATCAGGTCATCAAGCCTCTCGACAAAACCTCATGTAGAACTCAAAGTCAAAATCTGCACATGGATCACTAAATAATTCCGCCATATGCAATCAAACCTTGGAATAAACTTATGACCAAATATTTATAATCTCGGATTATATACCACTAAACGATCTATCTCGTAATATATAGTCGAGGACATGAGGGTCTCGACTAGAGTTCGGTTATCAGGTCGAAAATATAGCTGGTGTGGGTTAGCTTGCCATAAACCTTGTCTGTTAACAGCCTGGTAGGAATGATGCAACTCTGTATGGAGGTGGAATGATCAAAGCGCTAAGTTACTACTTTACTTTCGATTTCTAAACGTATTACTGATGCAAAGCGATCCTTGAGACATCATTTCTTAGTTATTCGATGCAAAATGTACACCATTTACAGACTTTCATCCGAGGCATGTATACAAGTCTGTCTTCCTTAGTGTCAAGTAAACAGGCTTTGAAGAAATAACAGATAAGATATGCTATTAAACTAGAGATAGAAAATATGTATACTTGTTAGAAGATTTTTCATTCACATTGACATAAATACCCTACTATATAGACAACGATGATGAGATTTGCAAACCGCTAAGGCGATAGTAGGATCTCAGTCGAGATATTATTATTCACTTAGACTACTTTAGTCTGCCAGGACCAGACTGAAGATACCATGGTGTCTAGGTAACTGTGCTGTTTAGCTGGTGTGGATTTAGACTAAGGCAGTGTCGACTGACTGTCTAGATAACCCAATAAGCAACGCCCCGTTGAGCTTAACCACACATTTAATATCGTATAAGAAAAAGTAGACCCTTGGTTAATCTATAGATCATTCTTGGATTACTTTGACCTAGGGGATAGAATTTCGCATTAACATAAAACCGACAAAAACAGGAGAGGGTGGGAGGTGTGGAAGAAAAGTGTCCTTGTTGTTGTACAAACGCAATTCTGCGGAAAAACTAATTCACTTTTTGCATGATATGGATACACATTTGTCATATAAAAAGTATGCAAACCAATAAAATGGATATCAAGTAATGAAAGTTTGCCTGATTATATGTATGTACGTACACAAGCATTAAGTCCTAATTGATGGACAGAAGCGATAAAAATGCAGGACAGAGGGTTAGGAAGAAAAGATGTCATATAATACGTATTCTTCCTGTTGATGTATCAACCTCTAAAATCTAGAATAAAAGACAAGCACCTCTCAGCTGTAAACAACATATTGTAAAAGTTGGAGATAATTATCACTGTGGTAGCCATAGCCGAAAAACACCAACATCAATTATATACATATATGCGTGTAGACAGACATGAATCAAACAGTTGGAAGCCCCTCCCCCTTGGCCTCTTGATACACAATTCCCTAGTTAAACACGATTTCGGTGGAGGAACAAAGACAATATGCTTCACAACTGGTTAATTGACATTTTTATTGTCAACAGAAATGAATGTTACACTATACACTCACTCATGTGTGGTCGTGTGTGCAAGCGTGTATACATGTAATGTACCATTATCTTCTACACTTAACACAGTTATATCACCCAATTGCTTACACAATAACAATGTAGACTAATTATAGTGTTAGAAAAAATAGCTTGTCTAGATTGAATAGTAATACGAATCAATGATCCACAAATTTTCTTCTAGTCAGGTCTTTGTGAACTAAATTCAAGACAAATAATATGGCTTATGGTATTAAACTAACTGTATGATTGTAGTTTACTTGATGGTTAGTTATGGAATCCAGGATGAAGGTTTCGTCTTGTTTGGAGCTCGTCAGTTGAATGTATCTGCGCATCCCAATGAGTGGTGTTGTTCCCATTGAGACTAGAAGCCAGTATCGTACCCATCACTTCACAGGCGCCAAAGTGTTATCCACTAGGCCACTGTTTTGTGTTTGAAACTATAGGAGAATCTCTCATATCTCCATCAGATGATATACAATGTTATATACTCCAAGAGATAAATAAGTTATTCGGCAGGAGAGGAAGAAAGTTTTCAGGATAGATAAATGGGCAGTAGGAGACTCTGTTGGGAGAGAGAAGTCTCCTGGTTTTAACTAACATCTTCCTAATACCTTACAATTGGCCTCAGTACGGGACCTGGTGAAGAAATTATCATAATCATAAGAATAACAGAGGTGGGATACATTGCTAACACGCATAACTCAGTTTTGCACTCTGATAACAATGTCTACAGTTTAATAAAATTGAGTTCGTAGATGAAATGTAAACGTTCTTACATTATATACGAAATAGAAGGACAGTACCGAATATATTCATTGCATCTGAGTAAACCATGAGATAGCCATACACTAACAGGCAATCACAGACTGACCAGTTTTACGAGCTGAATTCCCTGAGTTGATAGAAATAGTTGGGGTAATGGGTGTGTAATGCTGACAGGTAATAAGTTAGAATGAAATGACTGTCCAGCTCTAAGACCAACCTGTGATGAAAACAGTCTATTTTTCAAGTTGATATTCATCATTGACTGACATCTGTTGGAAACCTGGGAGCACTGGACAGCTGTAGCTCAACGGTAAAGTGCTGGCCATGGTACCTGAAAGTCGCGGGTTCCACCCCTGGCGGGGTCGTGGGTGCGCACTGTTGACGAGTCACATATTAGGACGAAGCAGCTGTCCAGTGCTCCCAGGTTTCCAATGTCCCTCCAACTGATGTCAGTCCATGATGAATATCAACTTGAGAAATCCCTAAATTCCCATAAACCCCCGAATTCAACAGTCGATTTTACTAAGAACTACCTAACGGGAGAACATATCCACTAGGAGTTGCGTCATGTCTAAATGAAAGAACTGTACTGCATTGTATTCGGCATTAAATGTTTAAAAGCACTAGCCAAAGAAATCTGTCTTCAAGTGTCAGTGATTTTTATTACCTATTGATTTAGAGCATCAACATCATTCGTATGATTTAAACGTAAATGTGCAGCACTCCAGTGGACTTTTAGCCTGTTGGTAATATTTTCATGATCGAATTCCAAAGAGCAGAGAATAACAAGCTATCAGAATTTTAAACAATTCTGTTCATTTAGCCGAATTCCCAGATGTTCATAAAATCAAGGGTAAAGATTTCTCCAAAAGGCTTGTATATTATGCGTCAAGAGATATTTGAAATCTCAAATCAATGTTTAAAAAAGATTTTGGATCATGATAAAGAAGAATACTGATGAACAGATGCTTCATCCAATTCTGGTACAAACCATCACCATACACTTTTGCCCTTTCATAAAATTGGAACCAGGCACAGACATGTTGTTAGCTTGTAGGACACTAAAAATGTTCCACTTTATTCTATTAATGATACAGGACGTGACATACAATGTAATTACACACATTACTCTCTATTGTACAACCCTTCAACTAACCAAGCTAAATGATTCAAAACTTAATCAAGCCAAAGGGGATAGATGTTTAAGGCTAATAATAAGACTGAAAAATACCAATTGTAACATGAAATTTTATCACAATAGATTACATATTTACAAATAGGAGGTTACAACTAGGCCTTGTTGATTAGCCTTCTTATCAAAGGCGTTGTATTGACTATCACAAATATTAAAGAAAAACCTGGTTAACAGACACTGTGCCGAGATTCAGCACATACCAATATAAACATGTGAGTATTGATGACAGATAAATACATACATAATAACAAACAGTGGCTAATATCGATGGTACCAGTAGCCATCATCCAGATAACTGCTATCTTAGCCCAAAAAGTGAATTACATGCTTACAGTATACTTTTTTTTTCAAAAAACTAACTCTATTTCGCAAATATTACATATGAAACCCATTATATGCTTCTCTCTCTCTCTCTCTCTCTCTCTAATATTTCCATTTTCTTCATGATACTTACTTCCTCTTGGGATACATATTAAAAAGATGAACATTTTAACCAAATCAAAACCTAATCCAATAGATAACAATCCACCCAGATACAGCAAAACAGGGAATTGAGAAACGGGTTTTGTTCTGTGACATTTTGTCTAACAGCTGATCGGATGAAATAAAGACAGAGGAGTAGGATGTCGTTTGGTAAGTTGGATGCTAGAAACAATACCTATCAAGATAATTTGTTTGGTTTTGGCTAGCAGAAGAATCCAGGACGCGCGTTTCGTCCTTTTCGGGACTAGTCAGCTATTTATTGACATACTTGTTATTCTCCGTTGTTTTGTTGGATAGAATTGTTCGACCTCTATTGACATATGGGCTCCGTAGCATAGTGGATTACGCCTTGGGGTTTGAAGCGATAGGTACGAGGTTCAAGTCTCAGTGGGAACAGCATCACTGGGGTGCAGGTACATCCAGCTGACGAGTCCCAAATGGGACGAAGCGCGCGTCCTGGATTCTTCTGCTAGTCACAACCAACCAAATTATCATGATTAACATTCAGGCAATATCGAGGCATCTGCATAGGAGCCCATATGCCAATAGAGGTCGAACAATTCGACCCAACAAAACAACGGAAAATAACAAGTATGTCAATAAATATTAATACCTATCAAGCTTACAGAATCAGTGGGAAAACATTAAAAGGCCAAGGTCATTTTGTTTGTTTTATAACCAACGTCAAAAGATAATAATCCTATAAATGACAGACCATACACCAATTTAAGCAATTCCATGCTCGGTTCTCTACTAATACAAGTCTCCATAATGACATCGGTAGTTAGTGATTGCGTGAGTCATGGTTAAAAGACAATTTTTCGTATGTGACTTTCATACTAGCGAGCGTTGACCACATGATTGCATAACATAACTGTTACCGCATATGTTAACCTTCGTCTGATAAAGTAAACTATACTCAGTCAGATATAGTCATTTAACAAACATTAAATTTCAGCAGCTTATGGAGACAGAGTTTTTAATGATAAAAGGACAGAAAAACATTGGTGTAACATAAAAACACTATATAGCAGAGATAACGTATCAAATCGTCGCATAGGCTGACATGCTCCTTTGTTCATCTTAGTTATGAAAAGTTCGATGTCATACTGACCTCAAGTAGACATGTTCTTTCTACTATTAGTGAACATAGACATCACGGCGGCACAATGGGATAATCAATAAACTCGTAAACAAGCACAACACAATTTACTGCAACAAGTACTACTGTGTTGCTGAACTAGAATGACCAGTTGATCAAGTAATAACCTAATCCATCAATGATGTTGACGAAATACCTGATTTCATTTATTCATTCAATAAACTATCGAATATGGGTGAATTTGAAGTCAGTGATTCACTTTGATTTTTGTTTTTAGGCCACACATACACACAGCATTGAACACATGAATCTACGGATCCCCAATATTATCCGTTAGTTTTATCATAAGGCTGTATCTGGAAGATTCGTGTCTACAACTTGGAGAGAGCTGTAACTATGACATCCAGATAACGATACAAAAACAAACTGTTCAAGAGTTTAAGTCTAAATTCAGTTATTCCGTAGTACCACTGGTCCTGCTATAATTCCTTAGTTGATTCACATTTAACAAATGATCGATAAATGATGTCAGCAGATGAAGCTATTCACATTTGTTTGATAGACTTCAGTGCTGAGTACTTAGAAGTTGATAGCAACATCAGTCGCCATCTGAAGACCTATTTTTGTACATTTGATAGTAAACCAAGGCCAAGGATATCCATCATTTTAAACATCATGTAAGGAACTTTCCTTTCTTGCAATGGAATCTGCAAAACGTTTAACACCAGTAGTTCGACGCTCATAGCAAAAGCATGGTGTAGATATATTCATTCTTTATGTGAAAGTAAAGAATAGATAAGGAGGAAATTTAGAAACGCCTCAAGCTATGTAAATTTTTCAAGCCCTGCAGAGTAATCTACACATCAGACAGTTTTTTCGCTTGTTTCGGAGGTCATTTCAACAATAGCACGCTTAAATGGATTCCATGTTATTTTTGAAGTGGAGATGTGGCTGATTGGTTTAAGTAGTTAACTGTCAACCGATGTCACTGGGTCGAACTCCGCTCCACCTACAGAGGTTTGTACAACCAGGTAGTATCACTGACCCTCGTACAATATGCGTAGCCCACTGTCTACTGCACAAATATGAACTTGGTTGCTGAAAGCATTTCGGTTTGATTTGGTGCATTTTTATGTAATTCTCACACCAATTATCTATTCTGGTTGAGGGTTTCTTATTCCACAACTTTTTATTTCAAAACTTGTTTGCTATGACCACTTCTCTCGATTCTTTACTATTTTTTTGGCTAGATTCATGTTTATTAATTTGATCTTTTCCTTGACGATTTCACTTCGCTATAGAGTTTGTGAAATACGGTTACCTGAATCAATATATTGTCACCACAGCCAACCTTGTCCTCGTATATCCAACCTAGGTCAAAGGGTGGATGCACACTGGTACTTCAATCTTCGGAGCATAAGTGACTGAAAAAATATGTTTACAAATAGAAAATATCTTGTTTTACACTCCATTTTGTGTTGGATAGCTGTACGTTGATGATTCATATTGACAGAAAACTAAATTCCAGTGGGAACAGAAAATCTGACTGTGTTATTTCAACCGAAAATTGGAAAATAATGTGTCTCAGATAAGTATCACTAGTCCTGTTATTTTATTTATTTTAAAAGTCGTTTTGCTCATGAACTAGTTCGTAACAAAGTTGCACCCCTCGACTCAAGAGCGTCTGGTTGATACCTCATTCATTTCTGTATCCCCTATATTTCAGAAATGACTGTCAAGTGAAACAAAACTGTTATGCATTATCCTATATATTTTTGCTTGAAACCACTAGTTTCACATTTATAAATTATGGTCGTCATGGTAAGGTAATTTAGTCATGTATGCAGATGAATAAGATCGCCTAAAATATATACGGAAAATAAGCACCAGACTTTGTGTTCTGTTGTTAGTGGTTGGAAGATCGAAATTGCATGGCTCATTGGGTGGATGAACTAAGTGAACGAGACTACCCAGGTATAGTCGAGACCAATCAGTTTCAAGGTCAGCGTTAGTACCCAATAGGCCGAATCCTGTGATTAAGGTGATTACAGCCAAAGTTACAGCGAATTGGAGAAGGGGTAACTCAGGAATATAACCAATAACTGCATACAACTTCTACAGTCGCATGAATGCATATATATGCACAAGATTGCAAGAAATAATACACAGAAATAATTAACAAGCCTGGAATTTCACCTCATGAAGCTTTTGGTTTTCATCCATTAACCCAGCTATATGCGTAGCATAGCATGTTTGCATGGAAATGAACTGTTCAAATAGACGTTGACGTGCTGCATCCACACCGGACCGTGATTCAACTGCAACTGTATACTCGTTTATAAGTCGAACTAAATCTGCCCATATTGCTTCTAAGGCTAAAACAGCAGCCGGTAGACTATTCTTCATTGGATTTGTAACCAATACAGGTATGTTATTCATTGGATTTGAACATGGATTATGAATGTCAGAAGCTTGAGATACAGATCGTCTGGCGGTGGGTAACTTCATAGAATCTCCACTGGAATTTTGCAGATCAACTGTAAAAAAATAATAGTTATACTTTTAAACAACAACGCTTTAGAAGGTATTGAGACACATGTTACATGTATACAAATAGTGTCTACCTAGGTGAAAATTGTTACATGACTTAAATATAGAAAATAAACCTCAAGGCGTCCAAAAATAAACGAGGTTAACCCATAAAGTTGTATGCAGTTGCATGCTGAGGTCTGTCGTACAATATACATATATGAATGAACAGAAACCATTTTTAAAGGGTTCAAAAGAATTTCTTCTGTTGAGAAACACTTCTCATCCTTCCATTTTTATAGTTTTGGTTATTCTAAAATTAAGAACCATTTTGTTAGTTACTTTCCAGTGTTTCCGATCAGTTCAGAATCAAAGATACTCCCACTTTATGAGACAGTGGAACAGAAACAAGTTTTCTCTTTGTTAAGTATATGAACCAGGAGTAATAAAAACTGATGTGATAAGTTTATTGTACAAGAACAAGAGTACTGAATCAGCATACGATGATGAATACCCTAATTTGGTGACCAAAATGCAAAACGATGGATAGAATTCAGTAGTCAGACTATATGAAATCGGTGACCCTTCAGGGAACAAACAATGTGGTTCCATTTTTACTGTGTATGCGTAAAAACATAAGCCAGTACGATGAGGATGACAATATAGTTCACTCAACTCAGGCATGCAGTTGAGAAGGGTCAACAGGTCTATCACCGAACCAGATAATGAGATTAAACGTGAAAATAAAGTGGACGTTGTTATTTAGGTGTTCAAATAGGTTGAAATGGCAGTCTAGAAACCTGTAATACTTTGATTGATAAACTTATATATATCGACTTTTAGTGGGGATCATCTCGGAAACTAAACACAGGATAAACAGTTGTTTAACTCAGACAACAGTATTACTAGATTGATATTCAGTGGTAGTAGTAGTAGTAGTAGTAAAAAAGTCAGGGAGAGATAAGCAAAGCAGACTTTTCAATTTTGATGAAACCACCATAGGATTTTGATAGTTATTTTCGTCTCTGATGTTAAATAAACACAAAAAAGACTAGACAGTTGCTTATCTGATTCTGCTACCAATTAACCAATTCTGACAGCTCCCAGCTCTCTTCACGTGCCTACTAAGAAAGTAAACGATTATTATTGATCATATATTCAGTCGAAGTATAGGTTTTTATGACAGACTGATGTATGTATGTATGTATATATTCATTTATATAGTGAAAACCATATGATGTCTACATATGTGTGTGCAGTAATGATGTCTTGATTTTCCCGATTTAGTTAAATAAGTATTCAAAATGACAACCAGTAAAAATAACTCAGTGGAGTCTAAACGGGAAATCAATACGAATTATTGATTAATAACGATTAAGTCAATAGGTAAGTTTATGTTCGTCAACTAGAAAATGAGTCACGTCTACTACTTGGACTGGATTAGACATATTACATCACTAACACCATGATGTAACAATTGACCACTGAATGTTAACATCACTACATCATAAATTCTGGTTGCAGAGGTAAAAACGAGTCCTTCACGTCGTCAGCTAGGCAGAACAAGGTAAAATCTAGCGCAAAATAGTTACCAAACTTCCCAACAGCAGGAAAGAGGAGTCAACAGAAGTATGAAGACCTCAAGATGATCAGAAAAGACATAATAAAGCCAATAAAGTGCCAAGAATTTCAAAGATAACAAAGAGAAGATACTCTATGCCACGGCAATCAATTCTAAACGGCATTATAGAGAGACCTCAACCAGGTGGATTTAAACTCCCCTTAGGAGTTCAGATAAACAGAGAAATCACAGAACGCTGTCATACCTTGGTCTGACGGTCCATAACTCTTACAAAGCATAACCTAATATTGAAGGTTGATATAAATGGTGGATAGGAATGCGTAATACATGTCGCAGTCCCCTAAACCCCTGTATATTCTTTACAGAGATTATCAGCATGACTTACTTAACCTGTCAGGAACCCTACGCTAAAACGACACACACGAGTAACTCTAAGAGGACATATATCGTCGAAAAAACCTACTCTCCCGATATAATCCAACTTGAATGACGACAAACAGAGTAAATTAGCAAAATTAAAGCAACCTTTCGTTTAAATCTTGAAATTCCGTTAGTAACTACTCATAGGAAAGATGCGTGTGAAGTAATTGCTATATAGGAGAAATCAGCGCAGATTATAGTTGCTGATTCAAACTAAGTCATTTGAAATGCTCTTAGAGACATTAATGATCCTATCCAACCATAGTAAAGACTTCAGTAAACCATTTCTACATTGTAACTGGTTGAACACTAAGTGTAATTGACAGTAGTATGCACTATCTTGTTTTGATATCTATGGATTTTCTCCCATATAAGCTACCCACATTTGTAATATGAAGTCATCACTATCATCAACATGGGTCCAGGCCTTACTGCGTAACAGTTCAAGGTGCCACACCTTATATCAGCACAAGTAGCAAAACAATAAGATGAAAGATAAAGAAAGCGAGAAATCGGTCAAAAGTAGTAGAAAACAGCAAAACAGAGAAAGGAGGAATGAGAGAATGTTGAATTCACTGTAGCGATTGAGATTAAAATAATTTGTGCATAAATTGCTACGGATATCGATTCTGAGTTATATCATCTACAGTCTCAAACCACTGGTTTCCGTTCTTACATGGAAGCCAACCGGTTAGTCTGCATCTACCTACATGGGGTAGACCAACAGTCAAAAACTTCATGCAGTGATACCATTTTCTAGTCTAGTCGCGCCGAACCTTCTTCCAGTATGAACCTACTTCAGCTAACATTGAGCGACGACGCAGATGGTGATTAGGGAATAGTAACACGTCCCAGCCACCTCAGTCCATGAAACTTCCCAACTGCACCAACTGACTTTCCACTCCTCTCTAAAACTCTACACCTGATGTCTGCACGCATTAATGACGTGGTGACACCACGATACATTGCCAATGCCACGAAGTCAACAGTGGTCAAACACCTGAAGCCTTCTCGTGCCCTCTCCCTTTAATGGCTATGTTTCACAACTATACAATAGAACAGAGCGAATTGCAGCACAGTACTTTCGAAGCTTAATAGGCAATGGGATATCGTGGCTGCGCCACGATTTTCCAAAGATTTTTTCCATCACTGACTAACGCAACCGGGCTGATTCGACTTCCCAAGTGAGTAAAGTATTCAAGGCACTCAACCACTTCACTCTCTGTTGTTAGTTAGCACACTGCTGAAGACCAGTTCTGGAGCAACAATTTGCATCTGGGTAGTGAGGAACGCATCTTAAAAATACTCAAATTGGCACTCAAGGTGTCCAGAAGACTATACATCTTGTCAGCATCTCCACCCAACAGAACTATGTCGCCAGTGTATTCCGGATCTACCGAAGATTCTCCTTTGGCAAGATCAATCCCTGTAAAGTCAGATCACGAAATGGAGACCTTCATAGGTACGTCTTTGGTAAAACTGAATAGGAGGGGAGAGAGTAGACATCCTTGACGGACACCACTCAATGTACACAGCTCACCAAACAACTAACCATAGGCTGTAACCCCCCCCCCTCCCCAACAGATTTTCGAGTAAAGAGCCTTCAGTAAGGTGGTGTATTTATCCAACATCTCTTTCAGTCAGAAACTCGGCAATAAAACCTTTCGATCGACGGAGTCATGTGTCATTTTCAGGTCAAGAAATACAGCCAGAGTCGGGCGTCAGTAAGTGTGCCTATGTTCCAGAACTGGTCGACACACCAACGATCAGGTCTGAAGCGTGCCAGGTTTCCTCTCATGTGCCGTTCCCAAGCTCCACTCAGATGCCTAATGATTAATAAGTCTACTGATACCTATCGTCACTGCCTTACCCATCTCTTCAGCCTTCGCCGTCTACCACTGTTCACAGTCATTGCGTAAAATTTTTGTCAGTCTACACTTCAGTTGCTTCCGCTCCTCATTGTACTCAGAGCCTGGAGGGATGAGTTTGCATGCATCCACTAATTCAGAAGAAGCTGCTGAAATTCACTGACTCTTTCTAGCCACTCCCCGAGAATTGACTGCGATCTTCAATGCTGTTTTAACAGCAGATTGAAATGGTACCAAGCTTCTTCCGGATGAGTGCTGCCATTCTGTTCTGATTACTATCGAGCCACCTCACTGAAAGCAACCTTAGTGCTCTCGTTGTTGAACTGCACCTGCAATGGTCTCGTTGCCAAAATCTTTCTACTTCCACTTAGAGACTCATAAGAGCCAACAAACACGGAACCCAACTCGAAATGTTTGTCGTTAATAATCTTCAACTAGCTAAGAGACAATGGGCTACATTCCAGTTCATAATTGATTGCTGTATGCTCAGTTAAACTACTCAAAATATAACTAAAACTACCTAAAACGAATCGGTACATTTCCTGAGTTTTTATTGATTAAGTAAAGGAACACAGACTGACTGAAGTAACAAAGTATTCTGGTAAATAAGTATCTGAGGTTGAAAGTGACTAGTGTATGTACTAATTAGTGATGGATAGAAGATCCCACCATCATAATCATAAACGTGTAGTCATAGAAATGAGTACTTCTTCGTGAAACTCCATACTAATGAATGTTCAAACATTCCTTAGGGAAGAAATTAGTTTTACTAATGCTCATAGGATAGGAAACTCGACTGACGACCAAGTATAAGATAAGCCAACTGCTATTTGCCTAATGTAATAAAACGAAGGTTATCTGAGAAACGTGATGCATTTAAGTAATACTTTCAGAATAATCTGGTCATATTGCTCCGATAACCTTCGTCATCTTATTACACTGCAAATTCATCATCAAAATGACTAAGTGTTTCAAGCTCTTGAAAAGAAGACTACCGTTCACAGAAAACAAGCGATATACCATAATCACATTTCCTCCAACTGCATGTGTTATTTCACGACTAAAATGTAGAATTTAGTTGGCGACTACAGCCTACAACTCAACTGCGACTTCATCAGTGTGTTAACCCAGAATCTACTCATTTTTATTGGGTTCAATTGACTTCATAGAAATGCAGAACGTGTCAGTCAGTTCTATGCTAGAAAACTTAATCAATGACCCTCAATCATACTTATTGTTAATGATAGGAAGATTCCAAATTATATTCGCATTAAACTGAAAATGCCATTAAATTTAACCAAGGATAATAATGAATAATTCCATTAGTAGCATTCGTTGAAAATAAAGTGAAATACTTACCGAAATGCCTCGTCCATAATCCTGGGCCTGTTCGACTTGCTGCACCCTGTGCAGCACGTGCAGCCGCCAATGCTTTGGATCGCTGTTTTGTTCCACCCCTATCCATTTGGGATGTGTTAGACTTCTTTCGATTTGTTTGAAAAGCTGATATCGAACTGAGCAGCTTTCTTTTATTATGCTTATCATTTGAACACTGCAAGCTGTTCCCATTTGTTTGTCTGACAGAGTAAGTAGGCGGGCATGACGATACTCTCCTAAGTCGGTTACATTTATGAATAGTTCGGCTGAGTGAACGCACTTTGCGTAGTCTGTGTACACGTGGGATGAAAGTTGAACCACCGAAGGGAGTTTTCTTAACACAACTAAAGTCATCTGGCTTCAGTGTATTGCAAGTCTCATGAGCTGAATTATCACAAGCTTTATGGTCAGGTGATGAAGAATTTAAACTACAATTGTAAGGTGCCTTATTTTGACCATCTTTCATCCAACGAAACTCTGAGACATCAATATGTTTATTAACGTTTTTATTGCAACTACATCGACTACTGCTTGCGCTACTTGAACTCGAACTTCGAGTTCGACTACTCCGTGATCCTGAGCTATACTCGCTACACGAACGAGATCTAGAGCTTCGGACGGAATCACACTCAGTTTGTCTGCGTTGTGAACGTCTGTGTCGGTGATTTCGACTTGACGACCATCTAGCAGGTATTTTACTTTCATTCCCATTGAACGGCTTCAAACAGACATTAGGAATGAAATCACGATCATATTGATGGGCAGCATCTTGAGTAACAACTCGATGGGAGTGCAATAAGAGTGGAGGTCCAGTTTGAAATTTTTCTGGGAGGGATTTCATTTCACTAGAAGAAAGTAAACAATCGATAAACCCCATAGACAATTCAGGTAATAAACGTTAAATGTAAACACTACATTTTAAAAAAATGATTATTTACCTGTGAAAGAAGTGAGAATTCAATTTTAAAGGAAAATAATAGATAGAAAATCACAGAAATGAAAAACTGTATGAATGATGGTGTGAGCGGGTGCTACCAATAAGAATGAATATAAGTAGTATATATTGAGGGGTCAGAAGAAGTCACAGGCAGTTATAAGTGATGGTATAAATATTCTGCCCAGAAAAGTGCAAAAGATGACGTCGTCATACCGATAGCAAGGTGAAATCGAAGAAGATAAACTTAAACATATTGTGAGAATTGATATTTCAATGGAAGGTTATAATGTTTTATTAGTAATGTACAAACTGTCATAATAAACTATCGTTCTGAGATTCACCCCTAGCCCTTTTCCTTCAATGGTACAAACAATCCAGAGTTATAAAAGAAACACTGAAAGTGAACTTGATACATTAAAATTCTGATTACAAAGGCTTCATCATATAAGTATGAAATCCGAGAAAAGCATGAGCTATTTGTGATCGGCATACTAATATCCCAATGTATTGGATAATAATAGAGATAAGCAAATTTTAACCTTCAACAGATAACAAAAATGAAAAAGCACGCCTTTCATGGATTACTGTATCAATGTTGTAATGCCGTCAAATATTATCAAATTGGAGTTCAAGATGTCTGGCGGACCAGTAACCAACTATATTTCACACTGTATGAACCATAAACATTGAAGATTCAAAAGCATATTCCTTATCTATCAAATCCTCTCAGTTGAAGTCTATGTTAGCATAAATGCTCATATCACTGCTTGTGTGACGTTTAACGGCAGTTTGTTGAACCAAAAAGATAATGACAACAATAAATCAATAGCCAATCAGAAAGTCACTGAACGAATTCAAAACTAATCTGCAGACCACAGTGCATTCTGCTAGAGTAGTGATGAGTCAATAACACAAGCAATGACGCGTGAACAAGACATATAGTGAACTGGTCAATGGAATTTAAAACAATGCCAACACCAATACTAGTTTTAGCCATTATGTACACCACATATACACGTGAATGTTTGGCCAACGGAATATTCCACATAATTGTTTTCTTGTCTAGGTTAGTTAGACTGTGCTTGTGCTAGATAGATGCCTTTCAGTCTGAATAGCGTTAGTTGTGTCGTTTAATGATTCACAACTTTCGATTACGCTGATCTCAAGTCCGCGTTACCGAACACTTATGTGTACAAAGTGGAAGGTGACGTTTTGCAGTTTTCCTGACAATTTAACTTAAAAGCTCATTGGAACAATGTAACAGTTCCATGATCACCTCTCTTGAAACACTTCGCAGTAGTACACAAACAACAGGTGGATAAAAAAAGTGATATCAAAGTCGACAAAGTTTTGTAAGGCAATTAACAGTTTAAAGATAAAGGTCAGTGCAAATATTCAAGCTTTAGATGTCAAGCAGTGTCACTAAGACTCCTCAACCACTGATCCCTTTCGTCTCGGGGACCCCAACCAGACAGTCTACATCTCCCTCACACGGTTTAGACCAGTGGTAAGAAATTCCATCGACTGGTGTCAGGTCTTGATCTGACCACCTTGAACCCTCTTCTAATCGAATCCAGCATCCCCTAACATAGTACATCGAAGTAGGCGGCGGCTCGGCTTATGCAGTACAGCCGACTAAGCTTTACAACCTCATCAGTCGACTTGCCTCGCTTGCCCAGTACCGTTCGCCTCACCTGAACATTGCTTAAACGCTGATTCCACCAAAACGTGAGCAATGTTACGAAGACACCTATGGTCAAAACCCTGTAATTGCTTCATGTCTTCTGCTTTTAACGGTCATATCTCACATCCGTATAAAAGGAGAGAAAGAGCTGCAGCGCAGCTTATACACGTCTTTTGACAGGTAGTCGTACGTCTCACCGGCGCCACAGATGACGCAAGTTGGCAGGACAGTAAACCGACAGTACAATAACCAACCAAAGTGATTATCTTCAGTATGCTGATACGATTTATTATAGGTAGTGAGAGGTGAAACGCTTAAATGAATCAAGAAACACTACTCTTAGTGGTTAGGATGATTGTCTCCTGAGTGTCAGCCTTTTCCAGAGGACAAACAAAACTGTGAACTTTTGATGTGTAAACCTATTAAATGACAACAAAGTTGGGTTGGGGCTACTGAACATTTTGTTAGGTTATCCATTTGAATACATAATATTGTCAATGAACCATGAATTCAAACGTAATCACTCAATTGTATTTGATTAGTCTAGGAGCATGTCAAATATTCTAAGCCGAAAATTGTTGCTGCACTCTTTATACTTTATATATTCATTTCATAGCAAATTGACAAAAGCTACCACTAGAATTTTGAGTTGTCACATGTGACAAAGTTGTACAAAGAAAGAAATGAGCCAAATGTCCAGAATATGTCATTGATCTGCGTTAGTGTGATTGGTATGCGAGTTCGCTAGATAAAAGACAACTTGACTAATATAGTCAGAAAATTAAGCGCCCATCTAATATCCTATTTTCTGGATAATGTTTTGAACCTATTGACATTCGTAGGTGCAGACGGACGAAGAGAAAGCATAAGATGATGATTACAAAAAATATCTTTGCAATGCAAACCTGAATTGGAGGTTTAGAAAAAAATGGTGGGACTCTTAGAAGGTAATTTATGTCATACAGATTATTCACAACAGTAATGCATACTAATAATACAATGAACACACTCAAAGGCATTCACATTTATCATATATACTCACTCTTAAACAACGTTTTAGAAGGATTCAGTGGCTATGTATGTCAACCTGGTACAAGCGTTTATATAGTAAGCTATGAGCGATGCTATTATATGTTGGCTTAGGATACTATCCGGCTGCGCAGGCCGAAACAGATGGAGACTGGTTTAAACCCAGGATTCGTTAGTCGAAAGTCGACTGCATAAACTAATGAGTCACATATCAAAGAATTCGAGACAGACAGACAAAAGCAATGTAGGACCTCGCACACAAGTGCATCGGTTCAAGTTGCAACACTTCACAGTGGCAAGAAAAGAACAAATGGATACAAAAAGATTTATCAAAGTAGAAAACGGTATATGGGAGGAGAACGAAGTTGAAAAGGGAGGGTGGTGAAATTATTCAAGCTTCAGGAAGCGAAAGAATTCGACAATACAGTCATCTATCCTATAATCGGCAGACATTCTCAATAGTAGACGGTCTATAAGCTTTGACTATAATGTTGCAATACTAACACATGAAGGTTAGAAGTATGATCATTTTACTTAGATAGAAGCATATGAAGTGAGTTCAAAATACTAACTAACTGTCTAAGAGGAATACTTGGTCCTAGGTACTCAAACAGTATCACAGCTCTCATATAATCACAATACTGTCAAAAAAGACAAGGAATAAATTATATGAAGAACTTGTTAAACATTCAGCATTTTTTAGTACACAACTAAACAAAGTTGTGTTTTTTCAATCATTATATCACCAAAAACAGCCTGATAATTTAGATTAATACTGAAATAGCAAGAATTTTGGTGTGGTAACCACTGTGCTGTTCAGTAGACTATAGTATCGTCCCTTTTTGTTACGTACTTAACAAGACTTGGCTTCGCTAACTCAACGACTGAGATCGATTATCAATATATGCACGAACCCTTAGGAGAATAACAATTTCGAAACACAATGCTGATAAGCTTAATTCATCTGGAAATAACAGATCTGATTAACAATATAAAACATTTCAGGTTAATAATCGACAGTAATAGATTGATTTACTACAACATTCACTCTGATCACTGAAGTACTCTAAAATTTGTGTAAGGAAAGTATGTTTGTACTGGGCGATGATTGAAGGTTACATGAAAATCTGGCCGCGGTTCACATTTTCATTTCACTTTCAATCATCACCCAGTATAAATACTAGTCTGCCAAACTACGGCTATCTCAGATAAATGATAAGGAAAATATATGTCAATCATGTTCGCGAAAAAATTATGCTGTATCCAAAATACACCTTGCTAACGAGTGCCAAGAAGCAAGTCCAGTGCTTCCTACTGACTGCCACCAACCAACTTAATGAGATGTATCTACAACAAACCATTTCTTACACCAAGCTTATGACTTGTTCACATAATCACTAGCTTCACTCTATCCGGAAAGAGATTAAATTTGAGCACCACTAAACACGGAATATTCTTTTTTAATCACGCGTCCACTTCTTGTAGAACAACTCAACGAAACTTTCACAGTGCTTCAACTACGATAGGAAATTATTGATTTGAAAACACTTGTATCGATTGTAAAAGTGACGCCAGTTTGTCCAAGTGACTGCTCATGACCTGATCGTTTGAGAAACTCCGTTACACATGTTGGGTTCCTCCGAATGCACCGTTGATAAACTCAACCCTAAATCAGCATAACATTCGCTATGCACCTTGATCATTTACAACATATGGACAGTGTGTACCCTCTACCGGTTTTAATGGTAAACCAACTAATCATACAGATCATTGGTATTTTGCAAACACTATTAATGGTGTATATCAGACCACAATATCGTTCAGTTTCCTGGGGAAACTACGGTGCGATTACACAACCAGACTTCATACAATTACGAGATTCAGCTCTAAAGACTGGGATCCTATGAACTCTCACTGCATCGAAAGACTAATTTGACTTTTGTTTCAGAGTTAATCTAACTACATAAAATGAAAAGTAACAACCCCATTCTGTTTAAATAAAAGCATGGAAAGACACTATAAGAAATTATTGATAATATGAACGATCGACATAGATTTCTGAATCTCAGATTTTATCAGCGTTTTTGATTGAAAATCGCCAGTAAAGTATCACTTGCAACACCCTTTCTTTTCGATTTCTCGTTATACGAATGCAATGTTTTGAATTAACAAATTTAAGCGACCAATGAGATAATGGAGGAAAATACGACACAAAATCTGATTCATGTCTCACAACAGTGTCCATATATTGTATAATGAAATATAACAGAAAAAATTACGCAACGGAACAACGAAATGAACAACCAGTTTTCCCAAGTAACAGATGGGAGGTAACTGTTAGGGTGCTACTCGTTGTTCTTCTAAAAAATATGGTGTCTATAGTAAACAACAGTATAACTCAGAAAACTTACACATCTCTATGAATCGTATCAGCTTTTCCCTCAATACTTTAAAACCTGTATGTCTGCGATTTTCAGTCACTCCTTCAGCTATTACTGATACCCTTGTTGTTACTGTTAAATAAACAAATCAACAAGATACCCACTTCTGACAACTCAGTGAATATTCTATTTTCCTTATTTATCCAAGACTCCAATTAACGCATTACTGTTCTCTCCACTCGTTCACTTAGAGATAAACAGGAAGTCACGTAACGGTAAAATAGCCATATTTGTGTCCACATTTTACGTCTGATGTGGACAAACAATTATGTAAGCATACCAAGAAAGCAATACATGTTAACTGTACTGGTTTTAGTCAGTTTATACTTAATGCTGTTTTCCTGGTCTTGTTAACTGAATATGAAATATCTTAGGATATTCGACTTACAACGTTCAATAATGGACTTCTTTTCAAGAGAATTATGACCCATATTACTTACATCAACGAAAAAGCGAAACTGATTTGTTAATAAGTGTAAACATACTGATTAATGCGATGAACTACAGAGTCCTAAATATAAATTTCCAGACTTAAAGGTAAAACGATATACTACTAATGGAAATTCTAAGGTCATATTTCTACTATATGAAGATTACTGAAAAGTACAAACAACCATAGGGCCAGTCATTTAGTTAGGAGGACGACAAATTGATTAACATAGTTCATATTAGGACAATGAGAGAAAGTAATAGTACCCGTCCTTATTTGTTTGTGTTTGTTTGTTAGACGGTGATTATGAATAAGTATAAAAAGTGACATACAACAGAGACACACTAAAACCCAGGAAATGAGGTCAAAGTTAGAAGGGTCTGAGCTAACAAAGAAGATTTTAAGTCTATCTTCATATACGCACATACAGGCTACATGATAACACACCCACAAACGAACATACATCTTCAGACAACTTTGAAAACAGACAAGTGACCTGAACAATGCAATCACCTTGGTTAAGGACATTAATTTAGACCAGTATTTGCCTCTAACATGAGAAATGATCATGAAGATAGAATAGAAGAAAAAAGTCTCATCTTACATAATAATGATGGATTCGTAAGGAAAAAACTTACCAGCTTGTCAGTAATTTGGGTGGAGGAGGAAGTTTAATGCGACCATCATTAGGGGCCCACAGACGGCGCAAAGTTAGCTGGGGTAAAATTACATTGCATGGTGGAGACTGATTTGAAACAGAATCAGCCGAAGTGCTTGTTACTGCTTGATCATTCACTTTATTGGGTCGCACCGGTAAAGACTGATGTGTTTTCGATTGGCTATTTTTCCTTATCAGAGCTGAAATCTGCTCACATATGGAAACTTCAGAAGTCTGAGGACGTTGTGAGTTAACAGTACCCGGAGGAAACGGAGCCACAGATGCACACAACCCCACACTCCTCAATGCTGCACTCAAAGATGGGGGTAGTTTAATTGGCTGTTAGATAGGTAGAAAAATTCAAATGTGATAATGATCAGTAAGGATGAATAACCAAGAACATAGTTGACAAGAACGACTTGGGTTCAGTATTTAGCGGTTAAATATCCGCAAGTATCCAACTTACTTTGGTAAATACTTACAGTTAGATCAGTGTGTTTTACATTTGGAGTTGTGAACTTGAGAACTCATGGAAGTGGATTAACATTCTAGGTAACATCTCTTGACTAAGTACCCAGACCGTTGCCCATGAAAGACAGAATAATAACACCAAACATTTCAAACCAGCTGAAATTTCGATCCTGTATTTCGAAATTTTTATTCTCTTTTGCCCCTGCTTTTATTTTCTGTCTTGGTGATGAGTACAACTCGTTGATTTCATTTAGTTTCAATCCTATTCGCTATCTAATATCCCAGATTATCTACGCGTTAACCTGATTGACTGGCTGTTACTCCATTTCCAGAACTATCATCCTGACTTCAGATAGAACCTCTTCATACTTGACTGTTTTATTCTATCCTTATATTTCAAGCTTATCCGTTGCACTCCAGAGAATTATTACTTTTTATATTCTGAAGCATGTTAGTTCTCGTTCGTCTCATTAATTTTTTATCAATAGCCTGGAATAACTCATAATATTAGAAATTTTCCGGTTGAACATCAACCAACTTGATCGAATAGTGAACAGGTTTTTCAAACTTTACCGAAAATTTCATTGATCACATACGTAATGAGACTAACAAAATAATTGAAATCTAAACTTCGAAATGGTATCGTCCGTCCTTGGAATGATTTTAAAAAGCTAGTAATCGGTTCGCTCTAGGTCTGCCACATATTCATTTGAACAGTCGATCAAGGCAAGACTGAGGACTCAAAAATTTAGTGTTTAACCTGGCCATTTACTAACCATGAACTGAACGTTCATTCAGCTGTTAGAGTCTCTCCAAACAGTGTGCGAACTCAAAGTAAACCACTAAGCTTTTCTTTATATTACAACACTAGAAATCGACAGAGACCGATGAGTTGTAATTCAAATTATAAAAATATTTAAATTATTCAACCTATTAGACAAAAGCCATCGATCAAAACGGCTGTAGGGTGAAAAGTGCATAAATTTATCATGCACATTTCAACATCTGGACACTAGTTTCTTCAAATGAAAATCAGAACGGCATAGTGTTACATATTCGTTCCACATTATGACAACGAGTGAAGGATCATGAAAATAGTTTGCGGCTGAATAAAGTGTCTAAGTGATTAAACAGTTAACACATAAGTACATTCTGTGAATACGTTCTATAGATAACTAGCTATTTGTGTGTAGACATGATGGAATTATTCATTCCACTAGATGCAACAAAAGACCAGTGAGAAACAGAATGCAGTGAGTCACCTTTCAAAATCATATGAAATATATGTTCAATTCAGTGTTGTATAGCTGGTGATCGTCACACCTGGACACCAAACAAGACAGCAGTTTACGTAAATCAGTCACCGAAATATAGATCTGAACACCACTTCAGTTACAATTTCTAGTTATTTGCATAGTTTATCGCCAACATCATGGGTGTGGCTCATATAATCCAGTACAAAGGAATGTGCATAGTTACGATATTTGAAATGGAAATGTACTCAGAAACCTTGTGCACATTCTTGCAGTAGGCAACGAGCCACACCTATTGTGTGATAACTAGTGATACTACCTGACTAGCTAAACCCCAGTAAGTGGAGCACAGCTCCGACCTGTGACTTATTGGTTGAAAGTCATCTCCCTCAACCAATGAACTACAGCACCACAGTTACAGCATTGCATATATCCTATTGTGAAAAATGGCAAAAGACTATAAATGGATTAGTACGAAACAGTTCAAATCAGATTCGGTATTACAAGTATAGATACACAATATTAGTCATGAGAAGAGAAGTGGATATAATGGGAGAGGAAAATACCTAATGGATGCACTTAGAACAATTTCAATATACTGTTCTAAACTGCCGTAACCATTTATTATAATTTAAAGGCGGCATACATTAAAGCAAAAATTTAAACGGAAAAAATACTGTCTTAATACAGGACAATGCATTTGAACCAAACAGTAAAAAGCATACATCCTACGAATGAAAATGTACGTACATAAATGAGTGATCAGCATACCTTCAATAAGTATAATCATACGGAAATGATCTACAACACGGTGTGACTGAGCATTTAATATTAGATACTTTGCCTGGCAAGGATGAGAGAAAATATAAAAAAGCACTAACCTGAGCAAACTTAATCTTAAATTCCTCCAAACGACGATGAGCATCTACAGTGATTACAGGTTCTCTAGTATTTGTTTTTCCCGATGAATCTGGTTCACTTGCACTATTAAGGTTGGCAAGAATAGGGGTTGAATTTAGAGTTAACCGTCGGCCTGTATACAGACGAAGATAACACCGCCAATTAGTGGAATCAAAACCCCAGTGATTTAAATTATCAACTTCTGTAACGGTATGTGTATGTCCAACAAATTGTTCCGGAGAAAAGTATCGGCAACAAGTAACACATTTGATGCATTTTGAGTAAGGTTCCTTGTATAAATCAGGATAGATTAATCCTAGTTGTCGTCCAAAACATTCATGGATTACTGGAATGACATTAGACCCAGTAGTATTCTTGCAGTCATTTTCAGGTTGGTTTTCATCGTGACCACAGTCTAAACGGTCTGACAAATGTTTATTTTCCAGTGAGTTCGTTGACTTAGTAGTGTCAGTTGAAACAGGACTCATATGTCGCTGATCTTTAAAAAATCCTACAGAACCAGATGCTTTTACTTCATATTCATCACTAGTATGTACATTGACAAGAGACTTAGATACAGTATCATCCTCACAGTTCACCTCGTCTAAACACATGCTTTGATGACGAATATACTTTGTTAACCTTTCTGCATCACTTTTACGAATTAAACCACAACTACCGACAGTACGAGGAAGTATTTGACGTGAATGCAGTAAACTTAATTGAGCTGGAGTACATGTTGTACATGCTATTTGCAATTTTGTGCATGCCTTATCTATGATCTGCAAATCCACATCGTGTAGAACAAAACGAAATAGATGAGGTAAACATAAACGTTTCTCACCCCATACATTAAACCCCATTATTACTTCACCGTCAATAAGGCTAGGAACTAAAGTCCCAGTATCTTGTGATTCTACAGACGCAATAGGATTAAGTGTACTGTTTGAACACCAGTTCATCTTGGGTCTTTCTACCTGTCTTTTTAGCGTGGGGCGAACAGTAGGTTGACGGCATGACATGGGAAAAGTGTCACAGTTATTAAAGGAAGATGAGCGGAAATGCTCTGTACGAGATGGAAGTTTACTGGGGACCTTCGGTTTCCCTTCGGGCATCACTGGCTCAAAAGGCACAGGCATGTTTGTAGGCCTTGACAACCTCATATTTAAAGGTTGAGGAGGTAAAGGTGGTAAACATATGTCTTTGAGCATGTATCTTGGGAGAGACAGAAGACCCATTTGAAGACTGGAAGCAAGTGCATGCTGAAACCAACCAGGAGAATTGAATAAATTGTTGGATGCACATAGGGGTTTTCGTGGATTTAAATGATCAGATCTACGCAGTAATTCAGGTGATTGGGACGGTGTGTGTGAGAGATCATAATCCTGTGGTCTTCCAAAAATCCGAGAAACCAGATTCTGTCTGAATTCGGCCACATCAACCATAGAAGAGGATGGTGCTGAGAAATATGGATTATTGGGTAAAGAGAAAGCCATTACATAAGTTCAGAATATAGTGCAATGTCATAGAAATATCGACCAACGAAAATGATTGCAACCAGATACGACTAATCCGAGTTGTTTACCACAGCACACATTAATATTAAATGACCAGACGTCCCCATACCAACTGTTAAAAAAATTCGCTTCTGACGGATACCTGTCTACCTTAAAAAACGAATTGCAGACGGGCTATAGGAGAGTTTGGGTAAGAACATAACAAGGTCACATACAAAAATCAAAACGTAGGCTGGTTAAGAAAGCACGCGCCGCCATTGTCTGGATTATGTAGTGTTGTCTGTCTATCTTGTCTATGCCTTTAAACATGTCCTTCAGTGTCTCACCTAATCCTTTTTCGATTCGACGTGTCTGTACAATATGCGTGGGTGAGGTATAAAATACATAAGCAACCCTGTTTGACCTCTGACTGGCTGACTAACTAGCCAATCAAAAACGTCACATAAGTTTTCTACCATGTCCACCTATATTTTAAAACTGGAGGTTTACAGTGTGATCCATGAGGTAGTTCAGATCATGAATGTAAGACAGTTATCGTGACGTTTGTCACCTCAGTTGACTACTACTTGCTTTTCGCCTAGATTTGACGTGTTTTTTTGTCCGCAAAATGTCCATATATGGAAAAAAAGACGCAATGTTAAGGCTGCCTTTAAGATTATTTTAGGTTTAAAAGAAACTCATTATGAGACAGGAAGATAAAGTTAGCTAAATTCCATGAATTTATTGCATTATATTTTATTTCCAGATGTCTGCAAACCATTGATAGCAGAATAATAACAATGGATCAATTTTAGAATAGGTGTAGTGAGAAAAAAAATCATCAACATGGCAATACTAGACATAAGAGTGAAAAAGCGGATAAAAGAGATGCATTAGTTTATTTTGAACAGATATATCGTAGGTAGGAAAAATCTCATTCCGAATTACATATGAAGCTATCATGATGAGCCAGGAACCTCGCCTGGTTCACTGGTTACTACCCGGTCCCAAGCCTAGGAAAAAAGGGGAAGTTCGATATAAGGCTACAAACTCCATACAGGGTAACTAATCCATTCGCTAAACAAACTTCAAAGCACAAACAAAATATTTTTAAAAAAATGAACCTATTCCTCGCTGGAATCGGAGAGGCGAAATGACGCCGGTTGGTGAAAGCCTTCAGGAAGTCAATTAGCCAATGTGTCTTCTCATTTCTCGATGAAAGCGAAAGTAAACATGGGGACATGGAATATTCACACAATGCTTGAAGCTAACTGGCTGGAAAGGCTGCCCACATTGCAAAGAGATGAGAAGATATGGCATAGAAGTGTTAGGTTGGGAATCGGTGAGGAATCCCCACATGGAATGGGAGTCGACTCTCGAAACCGCCAACTGGAGAGGAGTCAATAATCTACTCCGATATTGTCACGCAGACGACAACCACGAGCACAGCACACTGAGTTTTCGAGTGGTTATCATGATGTCCCCCTCAAGAGCATCGAAGATTCTCTCTCTCTGTCTCTGTCTCATGCAGTAGGAACCAATCTCCTCCTACTCCTTCTCCCCCCCTCCCCCTCCTCCTTCTGCAGGATCAGCATCATGATAGCAAGATTCAACTCGAAAGGAAGCAAGTCACAATCATACAATGCCACGCTATACTATCCATCTACAAATAATGCAGACATGAGTCAAGAGAAGAAGGAGGAATTCCACAGACAACTGCAATCCACACTGGACTGGACTGGACTGGATGGATAAGACCCCACTCAAGTTGACGACATCAAATCCATTCTGATGGGTGGTGTGACATGAATGCCAAAGTGGAAGGGGACAATACAGGAAGAGAACTGATCCACCATGGGTGGAGATGCACTCGATGAAATGATGAATAAGAATGGAGAACTGTTTGCAGAATTCTGTTCATTCCACGATTTGGTGATTGGAGATGAGGTGAGGCGAGGCGAGGCTAGGCGAGGTAGTGTGTACAAACACAAGATATTCACAAGACAGCGACATGGATTTGATTTCACCAGACACCAGACACACTACACCAAAAATCGGATCGACTTGATCTGAATGTGAAGAATGCGGAGACGGAAATCAAAGAAGTTGGTGATGATAGACGTCAGTTGAAGTTGAACACCGAGAACAGGAACTGAACTGAAGGAGGAAACTAAAAGGGACATCTTCAGATTAGCTATCAGGTAGAAATGGGAGACATTGATCAACTTCCCTGAAGGAACCTGTTTGGAAGAATACTGGAAGTGTTTGGAAGAGATGTGGAAGGAAACCTGCATAACCGTATTAGGAAGGAAGAAGAAGGAAGACAAGGGATGTATGTATCTTGACAGACATGTGGAGCTGATAGATGAGGGAGAGGAAGATAGTGAAGCAGAAGGTGAACCTGTGCAGTGCAGAACATGGATGAACAATGACAAGAGGAATTGAACACAACCTAGAAAACACTAGACTGGACAAAGAAGTGAAGAAGAGTGCGTGGAAAGACAAAAGACACTTCTACAACAGACTGGCAAGTGCGGTATAACAGGCTACAGGTACGAGACACCTGACAAGCAGCAGAATAAAATGGAATTCCACCAGAAGCACTGAAAACAGATGGGGAGACAGCAGCGGACATACTCACACCACTACTGCAGAAGGTTTGCAAGCAAGAAGGAAGGAAGGAAGGGTACCTACCTGTTGACTGGACGGTGATTTACACTGTCAAACTCCCAAAGAAATGTGGGCGACCTATGTCCTTGCAAGAACTGGCGTGGAATCATGCTCTTGCCCACCCCAAGCAAAATATTAAGCTACATCATCCTGGAGAGACTAAAGGATGCGCTGGATTTAAAATTACCACCGGAACAGGCTGGCTGGCTTCAAACTGCAACACTACGCTGTGCATCATCATAGAACAGAGTATAGAACGGCAGTCAACTCTCTACCTCAACTTTATTGACTTTGAAAAGGCCTTTGACAGCGTTGACTGAGAAGTAAGTCGGCAACTTCTTCAAAACTATGGAGTGCCACAAACCTTTATCAACCTCAATCAATAGCTAAATGAAGGCGCCACATGCCGAGTGATTCACAACGGAAAACCCAGTGACGTTACTGCAGTGAAGACAGGAGTAAGACAAGGCTGTCTGACCGACGAGAAGAGCCCAGGAAATTTGGATTTCGCCGATGGTGATGATGATTTATGTCTACTGCCTTGTAACACAAACTCGAAGATCTACAAGCAAAACCTACAAGTTGGTAGGAGAGACAGGGTGGCCAAGGAAGACGGGACTTCAAGTGAACATAAAGGAGACAGAGGTGATGAAGATACCCAACCAACCAACAACAACATCAACAACGAGCACCAATCACCATCAACGGGAGAAATCTAAACGAAGTTGTCTCTTTCACCTACCCACCTACCTAAGCAGGCAGCATCATTTCAACTACAGGTGATGGCGACACATATGAGGATGTCAAAGCAGTCAGGATTTGAGAGACAGCAACACAGGCTTTCCTTCATCAATCTGAAATTAGTGTGGAGATCTACTGCGCTGCACTGCACTCCACTCCACTCCACTCAGCATAGAGCGTGAACAACATCCGGATTTTGAACACTAATGTCAGTCAAGTCAGTGAGTGCTTCTATGTGATGGTTGAGAGACTTGGCGTATCGTGAAAAGCATTTCCAACGAAGTACAGATATTCATCGACAGCTGCCATCAACGCTCACTCGATGCTGAAGATCAGATGGCGAGAATAATCAGAATAAGGAAGGAGGAACTCTGGCTGGCTAGCAGGCAGGCAGCAAACCATTGAAGCTAGAACCCATTGTCCAACAAATATGCAGAAGATGAAAGTGGAGATGGATTGGATTGGGCATGCAGTGAGAAGACCATTTGGGGAAATGACGCACCAGGTCAGGTAGTCGAGTGTAACCTGGATGGGAAACGACCAGTTGGGCGTCCGAGGCGAGGGTGACGTGGAGATGATGTGAGGAAGAAATGAAAGCTTGTAAGCAGTGGTTGCGCCAGGTTGAGAAGACTGCAGGGAACCGAGTGAAATGGAGACGTGCTACTGAAGCTCTATGTTCCACTAGGAACCCATGGGACAAATAATAATATAATGATGAAAAGCCAGGAAAATTCGGAAGGGACCTATTGTAGGAGGTAAATAATTCTACCTGGCTGGGCAGACCTTGGGGATCGTACCCGTCACACACTGGTTGTATGTCATCTTCCTGAACCAGCGAACCACCACTTCATAACCTACAGACTTCTCTTAACTACAAATAACGGGTAACTGTTAATCTCAGACCAATTGGTTAGGTTCTTATCTTTATTACGCTTGCACAAGGACACTTCTGCACACCGGATTGACCAATAATAAGCAGAAGAGTAAGCTGAACGAGAATCGACCATGTCAAGGTGACTTAAGTATACAAGAAGCATATTCATGTATAGAAGATTCCACAGCCGGACCGTATAATGTATAACTTGATAGTGAGAGTTAACTAGTTACTTAGTGATTTTTATTTCTTTTCTTAACTCATTAGATATTAACCGTTCAACAATTTCCAGTAGTATGCTGTGCTGATTTTTTGGTATAATACAGTTTTGTGTTCACTTGTTGACCTTACGATTGTTATAATTTTAGTTATAATGTTATTTGCAAGTTCAACCGCCTGAGGAGTTGTTATTCAGTCATATCATATTCTTTTGGTTATCAGCCAATTACTACTTGATCATTTGCCTAATGAATGGTCAGCTGATTAAAGGTTGGATTATCCAGTAATTCCGTCGCCATTAAATTCCAACTAACTGACCGATTGAATGCTAGTGTGTGTTACAAGAATTGGAGGTCCTGCCTTCCATCAATCATGTGGTAATGAATATACTCTTCAGTGTCCACTGTGTTTTCAGCATTTCTCTAGCTGATACTGAATACTTTGTTACTAGTGATTTCTTCAGTGTGAATGTAGCAGAAACTTACCAGCTGATATGCCTTCACGACTAAAAGTATTTTCAGTTATGTGTTAATTAGTTTATAGTCATGATGACTAACAAATATTATTAACCTGCTTACTGGTTATAGTAAGGTTGCATTCACTTTAGTGAAGAATAAACCCATAAACGTTTTTTAACTTACAGGATTATTACTAATTTCAGACTGATTAAAAGTTATTACGCCAGGTGATTGATGAGGCCAGTTGTAATACATATATCAAAGTATCTTTATGTTATATTGTGATTATTCAGACAGATACTTAACATACACATAAACCAGTGACTTGTTTTCGCTTGCCTAATTCTATTTTGTACGGG